GCCCAACTTTCACTTGATAATCAGCCTCCATACACTCTATTTATTAATATGAAGACATTTGATGATTGATTTTGTTAACTTCATGGTCAATTAAGTATGTATATACTATTTATAGTACGATATGTGTAATTATTAAAACAAAACTATCCATAGACAATTTTACGTAGATTATTTTGTTTTCTTTTCGATAGGAAAATTTTATCTAATCTAATAGAATTTTCCTTGGCCAGTATTTTATATACAAAATGCTTGTGTTCGTCAAATATTGTCACTTCTTCATCGAAAGTGTCAAATAATGATATTTAAAATATATATAGTAATTGGAAATATTTTTCAGTTAATTATTGTATCAATCATTTCTTATAGATGAATATTCTTATTGCCATATATATTCAATACCATTTTAAATCACTCATTTCATGTATCTTATTAATACTTTTCGTAGTCAGTATTTTCAATTTGTTGTTAATTTGATGTTGTACAGATATACACCCATTTGAACATGACTTTTTCTGAATGGTTATCTCGAACAGCCGAATCTCTTCAAAAATTTTATATTTATATGTAATTCTACTCGTACTTAGTCATGCATACATTGATTACACTAATTAATTTCAACGTCATATGTAATTATATATGTTCGATATCTCTAGAAGCTTGTATGCAATATGAAAAATTAGTTATTGTTAGAAATAACTTTACAAATTTATGATCAACTCAAACAACTTGTGTTTAATGAATTATTTGTCTATCGAAAAACATTTATATATGTATTTTTCTTCTTTAATAAAATAATTTTGTTAAAGAATTATCTATTATTTAAATAAAATAGATGAAATTAATATATCTAATTGAGATGTTTGTTAGAACAGATGAAAATCTATCACATTATCACGTTCTTAACTTTAGAAAAATCAGTATTTATGACTCTGTCTCTATGTATTTATTTCATATATTCATCTGCAAGCTACATTTTCTTGTACTTATGATACGTCAACTGTCGTTGAGATAATATATTTTTTACTGTACAGAATTAAGAATTATTCTCTATACTAACAGCGACGAACACATAATATGGAAATTATAATTGTTTTTATTTAAGATACAGTTATTAATCATACATTCAGACCGATAACATTTTGTCCAAAAATTTCATAAGTTGAAAAAAAACAGCTAAAAAACTCTTTCAACACCCCGGTTTCGGACTAGTTCATAGTTTTTTTTTTTTCAAATAAATACTCCCTACCACAATAATAAGATTTTTCAAATTGTTGTATCGAATAATAGATCATTTATTTCCTTATTGAACTACATATTTTTAATTGACTTATTCCTTAGATTTTTTGAAAATTTGATGGTTTTCTGAAACTCTTTTTTTTCATAAATATTTTCATTTTTGACAACTAAAACTGTTTTGTTTTTCGAGTGATTAATTCAAACACTTCTTAAATTGAGCAATTATAAGTCGATATTGTTAAGATTTTCATTAATATATTGAAATAGGTCAAGCGTAAAATATTTGAAAAAAAATTTTTTTATAAAATACAAAGCAAATTGTCTCATACATGAAAAACTTTCATATTCAATACAATCCTTTGGAGATATCTGTCATTTCGGAAAAAAAAGACATCACTTGATGTCGTAACCTTGAAAATTTTCATCAAGATTGCATTCTGTCAGCATAAAGAAAAAAAATAATTTTGTTTTTGATGATTCATTTTGAATAATAACATGTGACACTTATGATTATCCCTCAATACTTGCATGATATTACCAAACATTGGATTTTATTCATTATTTACTTTTAGTGTCATAAAATTATTATGAAATTAATGAATCATTGGTTCTTTCCTTATAAAATTATGAAAGAAACAAAACGTATGTAACGATTAAGAGTTTGTATTGTCACCAACAAAAAAACGGTAAACAACATATCCATCAGCTATTTGTAGTTTTTATTGAATATAGATAAGAAATGACAAGGACGAAATTATTTGAGTATATATGTTCTTATTTAAATAAAGTTGATACTTTTTTTTGCTTTCTCACAATTTAAACATGATTTTTTTTAATGTTTATTTTATGAATATTTTCAATTGTTTTTTTAAAATTTTATATTAGTACGAAAAATTCAATTTGATATTATTTTTCAAAATTGTGATAGAAAATAATGGAGTATAAAGGATGTTATATATATCAAGTACTACATAACTACAAAGTTTGAGATCTATAGCTTTTACTCTGAATGAGAAACAGTAACAAGATTGTCATGTATTATTTTTTCAATTTTTCTGATTATTTTGATTATTATTAAAAAAAAACTACAAACAATAGAAATAAAAAGAAATGCACAATAATAGATATCGATATTTGCGTCATTGAGTAACACCTTGATGAGTCACTAATTGTAATCATGATAATATTTTATTCGTCATTTATTGACATAATGAAGCAATGAATCTATTACATTTTTGTTTTTTTGATGTTGCTTTCCAAATGTTCAATATCAGTATTCTTGCCATTGTAATTTCTCTTTTGATGCTGTGGAGGAAGTTTTAATCGATTGAATTGAATCGAAAATTTGTGCTTCCAATTAGCTGATCTTTGGTCTATCGGAAACGTTTGAGATGCATTAAAAGAGAAATTACAATGACAAGAATATTGATATTGAACATTTAGAAAACAACATCAAAAAGATTAAAATTAGTAATTCATCAAGGTATTAGTCAATAACGCAAACATCGATATCTATTACTGTACATTTCTTTTTATTTCCATTGTTTGTAGTTTTTTTTTTTAGTAATAATCAAAATGATCAGAAAAATTGAAAAAATAGTACATGACAATCTTGTTATTGTTTCTCACCCAGAGTAAAAGCTATAGATCTCAAACTTTGTAGTTATGTAGTACTTGATATATACAATAATCTGACAAAATTTCAAGAAGTTTGCTTTTATTGAACGCGAGAACGATGAATTTCAAAATTGTAACAGAACTGCTGGGACACGCTTTATGTTTACATTTAACGGGCAAATTCCTAATAAGTAACAATAACCGTTAAAAGTCGAATAAAAATTGTAATGGAATTGATATCATCAACTTGATTTTTGACAATCATTTTTATCCTATGAATTGAATATCTATATATTGACCAAATGACGTCATTTGATGATTAAATATGGTACGACAATGTCGTTAAAAAAAACTTTAATCTTTTACTACAGAGTATACCTCATTTCAATTTATTAATCGTAGAAAACAGTTTTCTAAAGAAATTGACAGAAAAAATGGACAGTATGTTCTAATGTGTAATCAACTATCTCATACAATTCATTCTTTAGAATTGTATTCAATTTCCAGTATATCATGAAGCTTGAATAGAAACAAATTTTTATAAAAATTCTGTGAATGTGATTGTTAGGGTAAAGAGAAGACGAGCATATCTCCCGAAAATCATACGCCACTACACCTACACCCTTGAATATGAGACTTAGAAAAAAAACAATCGTTTGACTCATCTATGCAACGACATTCTACGAGGGGATAGTCCTATTATGTTCCCTTTCATTTTCTTGAGCCAATAAAAAACCAGTGCGGACGGACACATCAAAACATTCGTCAGAAAAAGGTAAGGTTACAAAAAGAAAGAAAAGATAGGAAAATGAAATAATAAATATATACACGTCTTCTCGTCTTGTTAATGAAAAGCGTGAGACGGTAAATTCAGTGACGTACTTTTTCTTGCTATTTTTACTCTTTAAGTTGGACTAACATAATGAATGACTCATTTATAAAAAAAAAAAATTGTATCTGTCTGTAGAACGAGAAAATGATAGGAAGCAACCAGTGTATTTCGACTATTTATTACTTTCTTTATTTACTAATTTAAGCATATTCATATACAGTCGAGGGCAATTGAAGTTTTACCCTTTGATTCTTTTTTTATTACTATACGTTTTTATCTATATATAGGAAGAAAGCCCAGGCCTTGCTGCATCTTTTGGTATATTTACTTTTTACATTTTATACTGCATTTGATGTTCAAAGTAAATATACCAAAAGATGTAGCAAGGTTTGGGCTTTCTGTCTATATATAGTAAGTTAATAGATAAAAACGTATAGTAATAAAAAATCAAAGGGTATAATTTCAATTGTCTTCGACTGTAAATTTTATTTTCGTTTGGGGTTCGTCTTTTCGTCTCTTAACCGACTACTGTGTAACTGAGTAATGATGTTTTTTTTTTACTTGGTCTTTACATATTCTGTTCCAATGGTTGCAGGGAAGAAAGGAACATAACTTTGCCTATGGTTTCCATAAGGTATCGAACTGTGCATACAACTAAGTCATTTTTGTAACCTGTTAATAACATATTAGTCCCCCCAAGTCAGAGGTAAATTATCCATTCATATTTTTTTCATCAAGAAAAAGTGGGGTATAATTTACAATATGAATGAAAACAATTCTATTGATAAATGTTGTTAAATTTTCAAAAAACACTTCTCTTCGCCTTCGTTGGTAAAAATTATGTTTTAAATCGAGCCCGCTCATGCTGTAGGTATAGATGTGGTTGTTGAACTTTTCTTAATCCACACTCACACACGTTCAATCAGTCTACAGACTCATCGAGTCCTCTTTCATTCAATCCTGATGACTTCGAAACATTCCATAGATTGTAGAACTTTGCATATTTGCTTCAATTGAGTAAATACGAACTCAGCGAATAGTTTAGATAAATGATATGAACATACACCAACTCAAATCAGTTATGATTATTAAAATTGATTTGATTTGCTGTATGTTTATGTCATCATTTTGTGATAATCCTATGGAAAAAATAATTGATAATAATCAACGATTATTTACTCTTATTTTTTCATAAGTTACATCAGTCTGAATGGTAACAATGCTAGACGAACTCAATTTTAAATGAATAGTACTTCGATATTTAACGAAAGATGTCATTTTCAGATTAATACGCCACGTACAAACAGTGGATAGTATGGACTATTTTCGAGATTGGCAATCTTCCACCGACGAGGATTTTGAAAAATACATCGAAGATGGAATTGTTAGTCAACCAAATCAAAATACAACATTAACCACAGATGATTGGGATTTACAAGCGGCCTTTCTATGTAAGTATTAAACAGAAGTTCTTGTACCAAAACCTGATTGTAAAAAAAAAATGTACTTGTCTACATTACTGATTTTAGTTGATGAGATACAATTTGAGAATTTATCGGCTGATCATATTGAAAATGAAAATACACAGCCTGCACTACTCAATGTGGTACTATCATGTGCTGAATCTGAGATTCTACAACATGTTGAACCTGGTGAGTTTAGAAAAAAGAATCTTGCATAAGCATTAGAATATACGTATATATCTATATTTTGTCTTGTTCATTAGTCGAAGATATTTCCAACACTTTTGGTGCATCTCGACCAATTACTGCTACCATTGAAATACGAACAGATAAAACAGCAGTCAAAGTGAAGAATCACAAGAAAAGTAAGAATCTTCTAAGCATTAAGTTTAGAATCATAATGCTAAGGTATAGATTTTCAGTAGTTATGTGATAGATAATATTGACAATCCTTAAGATAATAGAACTGTCAACGAGACTGATATATTGACTCGAGTACTAATTGGACCTCTTAATTGATTAAGAGTAAATAATCTCATTTAGCGTATTGTTTCTAAGAAAATAAGCCATCACAATATCGTGTTTAAGTGAGAACAAATAAAGACAAAGCTTTAACATATCAGCTTACTGTATGTTTTCATAACTACATCCTATACAAAAATATCAAGTTATGAGTTATTCTGTTAGTCATATCTGTCGTAAGATTTCAAAGAATAATATTTCAAGGATATCAGTTATTGTATTCATTGTTTGAGATAGACTTAAAATATTATATATGTTTTTTTTAGTTTTAGCAAGCGAACTCGAAGCTTTTTGGAAGCTCGACGAACCAGGAGAGCCAAAACAAGACATGTAAGGCATCTTGATTAACTAAATTCTTCTTCTTTCAATTGTATTTTCAGTTGGGAAGCACCGTCAGAATCAGCCGAACTCATCTATAACAAAGAAAAAATCCATGTCAACGTGAAAGATTTTAATGTCATTCAATATCTCGGTCAGGGAAACTTTGGTTCAGTGAATAGCGTCAATATTACAAGACATCCTGACGTTCGTATGGCCGTCAAAGTAAGTAACTTTCACGGAGAAATATTCTCAACTATCCCATTGACATTGAATTTGTACAGATGTTTAAATTTACTTCACTCTATTTTGAAAGTCTATCATCCAATAAGAAACATCAAACTGTTGCGAGTCAACAATTTCGGAAAAAAAAGAAAAATCTATTGTAAATTTGTTTTCTGTTAAGTAGAGAAATTTCCATTAGAGAAATGTACATGTTTTAGCAACTAGATATGCGTGCTGCTTAACAAATTATATTTTATTTATAGCGCATTATACTTTCAACAAAAGAAGAGCGAGCCTCTGTACGACGTACTGAACTTAAAATGATGCAAGAAGTTGGTTCTGGTGTCTGTCCATATATTATTGACTACTATGGTGCAATGATTGATACAGTGAGTGAAAATTCATCTCGTTTTTTGTATTATAATGTTATTTTTTCCAGGATCACAGTGAACTTTGTATTTGCATGGAGTTAATGGATATAACAATCAAGAAATTCTATGAAACTATGCATCTACTAGGAGATATACTTTCTAGTACTCTTGACTGTTTTCTGTGCCGTCTGAGCCGTAATGTAAAGACTACTTTCATTAATTTATGATCATT